ATGTAAAGAGTTAGTATCAATAGATTGAATTCTATAAAGCAGACCTCTATTCACAACTTAGATAAAAGATAAAATTTAATCTCTTTAGTCTCAACAATTGATTACATTTATTTGATATTTATGACAAAGGAAGGATTTATGAGAAAGGAAAATTCCTGATTAAAAAGTAATGTGATAAAATTGGCTAATATGCAGTGTAAGCGAAATTGTATATAAAATTTTGTTTATTTATATCTCTTATTGGTAACGTAAAATGATTGTTTATAGAATTTTTCAGAGAAATAATTAGCTACATGCATGATATGTAATACATATGTAGCAGCGATAATATATAATATATATAAGTATTAACTTACTACATAAATCGTAAATGTTTAGTTCACACCGTGCGCGAGTGAATGTGAGTGTACGTCTTATGATTTTGTTTACTCTAGCTAAAGTCAAATGATTTACTCGAGGTAGGAAGTAAACAGAGATCTATTAACGCTGTAAATAATTTAATTATACACATAATTGAATTTTCGCGCGAATATTTATCATTATATCGATAATTGTAAATGTACAGTTCATTATGTTGAACTAGTTTACTGTAAGTAATCTAAGTTGATCGAGAATCATTGTGATGTCATGTTAGGTTCGCAAGTAGCGCATATGCATGATTTTTTTTATATCATTCTTATTCAGTTACGAATTAAATGGCAAGCGAGTCAACTTATATTTTATCTACTTTCTTTTTATCTTTATCAGATTATTTTCTTGAGGCAGCTATATTTTTACATATAGGCTTTTAATGACATCTTTACCTTCCGGTGTTGATACAACTGATGTTTATATATTTTGTACGATATTTTTGGAAATTCTGGCAATAGTCGAAAGGCCTTCCTAAGACTATTGTACCTATCGCAATTGTGTGTGTATCATAATTTTTATATTCGCGCGAAAATTTTGTTTGACTATTGGCAGAATTTCCCCTTTATTATATTACATACGAATATATACATATATATAAATAAATATATAATTTTAAGTATTGTATTACCAAAATACGAGTGAGATGATCCATTAAATGTGCAACGAAGAAATTAGATTCGATTTATCGATTTAGATAGGCCAATTAAGCTGCTTTGCGAGTAGGAAATTGAATTGCCAAGAAGAACGGAGAAATAATTACTGTAATTGCTTTCTTCTCACGCTCGATACACGACTATAAACTAGAATAGATGAGTAACGTGGCTGTATCTTCTTTTTCTATCGTTTGCTAAATGTTTTTAGCTTCGGGGGAACAGTCTGTAACGGAAATAGACTCTAAAGAGCAATCGCTGTTAATTTTAAAGTTACGAATACGTGTAATTTATTGCATATACTCGGACTCTAAGGCGAGGTTTATTTATAAACTCTCGAGGATTCAATCGTACAATATTTATTGCATTGTGTATGTATATATGTATGTGTTGTTAATCTAGTCTAACAATACGAAACGAACCGCGTTGTCAATATCTCAACGTACATTTCAGCGTTTAAAGTTCTAAAGAAAAAAAAAAGATTTTCCACGTCGGAAGACGGGCTTGCGTCGGAATTGTTTAGCCCTCCCTCCCGTTGCGTGTTGGGCTTCCCTTTTTCTTTTCGATCGAGCGTGTATTTTGCGCGCGGTTCGAAACTTTGATGGAATCGAATCAAATAACTCTCGCCGAACAAATGGATTAACGTTTTTCTGCGTGTATCGTCAAAGTGGGAGGTGATAAAACGAGGAACCCGCACAAACCGTCGCGGGCAAAGAACGCGGAATCCGTATTCACGATATCCCGCGTCGTTTTGGGCCGGTCTTCGTCCGTAGCGAATACCGAATAAGTAAACCGAAATAAGTAATAATCGCTATCGATGTGTTTTACCAAGTCCTTTTACCAAGTCGTCGAAAGATTATATGTATGTAACTTTGCACTCGCGTAGATCTCATGGTAAATATTTAGGAAATATCACGCATATATAGAAGAACGTATTGACGCTTTTCATTGATTTACATTTCGTATTTATTGCGCAGCGATAAAGATGACATATCCGTAAAATGCTACTTATAGGACGGTAATTATTAGAGAAAGAAGAAGAAAGTGAGTAAGGTGTGTATTAAAATACTGTCTATAATAATACAACTTCAATGGTCCAGAAATTGATTCAATTGCT